GTGTGCCTTGGCAGTCTTTGGAGGGGAGACAGGGGGATTGCGGTTCACTGTCCGCAGCTCTCCCATCTAACCCTGTCAATATGGCATCTCCTGTGTAATGTATAATGTATTGTGTATGTAATGTCCTGTGTATGTCACAATCAGCTGTTTTAGGAAGTCATCCTTGCATCCCCCCCCCCCCCCTCCCCCGTTACGTTTTGTTTAGTTGTTTGTTGTTACATGTTTTGATGTACGGTTTGTTATCTGGAGCAATGTCTGTTAAAAAAAATAATAAAAAAAATAAAAAAAGATTCAAATAAAAAAAAAGATGTGCTAATGTCCATAATAATAAGCCTGTTGTTCTTTGCATTCGCAGCTCAATTGTGTCAAATGAAATGTTGATCCTTGATTACTGAGCAGGTTTGGATTAAAAACGGACATAGTGGCCAAATGAGGGTTCACACTTAATAATCCCTCAGTGCGTCAAAGTTATGCAGACATATGGATTTTTTGGAAGATGCCTTAAAACATGATTTTAAATGTATTTATCTAAGCATCGTGTCTTATCTGGTAAATGTATATCTTGAGACATTAAGTGAAGGAACTCATTCACCACATGTATAGAATAGATTGCAGATTAGCATGTGAAAGGGAATCGTACTAAAACTCTGACTTCCACATTATCTGGGCTGAACAAGGCCCATTAAATATGCATTTTACATCACTCTCATTTCCCTTTAGACATAAATCTACAGCCAGATGCCAGTTGTTTCCAGTTTTCATGTTAAGCTAAGCTAACAGGCTGTTTATAATTTACTGTTAAGATGTCAGAGTGGAATCAATTGCAGGAAGTCAATTAAGTATATTTCCCAAAACCTTTTGCCTCTTCACCTGTTGATCAAGTTATGCACAGTCACTAACCTCATCTACTCTTCGCAGGGCACAATGTGGCGTTGTTGGATGCCCTTCATCTTGGCCTGGGTGTCCATGGCAACCCCGACTCTCTGCCAAAGTGGAGATTGGGGTTCAGGCTTTGACATTTTCCCGGCGTTAATGGCCACCAATGACACGTCTCAGGCAGTTGGCGATGAGCCTGTGAAGATGAGAAACAATCAAGACTGGATCACATCAGCAGCTTCCTCACCACCACCACCATCCCCCACAATGCATTATGAGCCCCAACCGGACAAATGCTCGGTCCACTTCAGCACTAGCGCCGCTGCGGCTCGGAGGCTGAAGGCCCAGAAGGAGGAGCTGGCCTACCTGCAGGCCATCCAGCATGGAAACAAGGCTGTGGTGGAGAACCTGGTGCAGTTTGTGGGGGCAGAGCTGGGGGATCAGAGCTATGAAGATGTGATTAAGGAAAATGTCATCGGCATCCAAGGGGACCACAAGAGTTGCCACGAGGCGTTGGAGAAAGCGGAAGACGATATGGCAAAGCAGCTGGAGGGGGAAGTGTTGAACGCTGGGCTGCAGAAGTGAGTGCGATAAATGTGTTTTTCAAAAAGTTAAGAAGTTGATGTGCTGGGCTTCCCAAAAGGTCAAGGTAAAGAGAGCGTCTTACAAAAGCCCAGTTGTTATGGTTTACTCAAGAGGTAAACAACCCCATGCTGTTAACAGAAATTGGAAAAATTGTGAGCAAAGACCTGTATTCAATTATGGCAGAGAGAGGCAATCTTTTATCTGGGAATAGGCGACTGTGGTGAGGACTGCTGTTTCTTCTCGTCTTTCATAATGCACACGTCAATCACAGGAAATGAGCAGTATTATTATTATCACGATGCAAGGCTCCTGCGTTGGGTCTCAGCTTGCAGTCTAGATTGCCGTATAGGTTTCTGTTTACTACTCGAATACTAAAGAGCATTCACGTCACGACAGATATTAGACACAGTATGGTGCACCTCTAAATTGACACTTTTTAAAATGCAAAATAACCCTCTTGTCGTCTCTGTTGTGCTTTGCATTATATTTCATACATTATATCTCCTCTCATAAAGAGTCTTGCATTACACAAACAGCTTCAATAGCAACTCTGTCCTTCACATATTGTCGCTTTGGATAGGCTCCTGGTTGCTTTGGATAAAAGCATCAGCTAAATGCAATGCAGTGTAATGTACTGGCCTTACAGTGTATTTGATGTCCTGAGCCACTCTTTACCATTTCTCTCCACATCTGTCCCATTTCTTCCTCTTCCTTTCACTCCTGGTGACTTGGATTGTTTGTCTTTCCGGAGCAGAATCAGAAAAGAGGCCTCGGCTTTTGAAGACATGCACCGCGCTGCAGTGGACATCGCCAAGCGGCTGGAGATCTCATCGCAGGCCCTGCATGCTTCGTTCACCAAGCAGCTGAAAGACATTGGCAGAATTCGTCGCTAAAAACGTTTTAAGAGACTTTCTGCCCTCATGTCATCCTTCAACATGGTGAAGAGGTTTTGGTATCCTTTGTGAGACCCAAAGTAATGATGAAAACTTTCCAGATGTCTATATTTTATTGAATTAAACTATATGTGCTTTACAGAGATGCAACAATGCGTCAAGATCAGCCCTCAACTGTTGGAATCAACATGGTTAAAAGATGAAAAGGAAAATTCAAGGGTGGATGAGAGCAGAGAAGGATTGTTGGGTGAAAAAAACAAGTTTCTCTTTCACTCGAGTTAAAACCCCGTATCCCATCAAATATTATTTTCCATCCAGGCTTTATTCAGGGTATTGGATGAGGTCAAACAGTAGTAACAGTATGCGGTGCAGGTTTTAGCCAAGTTGAGTGTTTATAGCTCAAATTAGATTGGCCATCGGGGACCAAACATAATGGCTCCGTTAGTCTTTTCCAGAAACAAACTATGGGTCGGCCATCTGGTTCCAGGGCGAGGATGGAGGCCAGGATACGTTTCGGAGGACTAGTGTGTTCCAATAGACATTTTGTTTTGCAATAAAAAAAAAGGATAAAGTGCAACTACTGCATCGTTATTAAGTATTGTTTTCGGTTCTTGAGAAACTATGCACAAATCTGTGGATGATGGACGAGCTGTTTTATCAGCAATTAGACAATTCCTTACTGTGAAAAGGAAGAATTAAGCAGGAAACTCACCTTCAAAAACATGATGAAGCTCTTTTAACAAAGCACCTCTGAATCCGTACATTGTTTAAAGGAGTGTTTTTGAGATTTTACATCAGGAGGACATTATTTGTGGGTCTCTTAACTGGATTAAGATGTTACAATGTGAGAAGAAACACACTATTGTTGTTATCCAGCTTCATTGTGCTATACTGTCTTTAACCCTACTTCCAATCATGTTTTAAATCATACAAAGGTGTAACGTGAATTTGGGAAATGTATGACAAACGTATACCAGTAAAGATCAACAAGCAATGTATCAGTCTTGTTTTCTTTATTGCTGCCATGCTTTCACCTCTTACTCATATTAATAATTAAGGGGGACTTCACTAGGCATATGCATTCACCTAGTGTGCCCTCTAGCTGTCTCCTACAGAAATATCCCATGGACGTTTCAGTTGCACATGTCACTCATTTTATAATGTTTTATAAAATAAATAAACAATTACTAATTTGGTGCAGATTTGAGTTATTGGTCAGTTATTTCCCATGCCAAATTCAAGGGAATCCTGTCTCGGTGTGTCTCGGTGTGTGTGTGTGTGTGTGTGTGTGTGTGTGTGTGTGTGTGTGTGTGTGTGTGTGTGTGTGTGTGTGTGTGTGTGTGTGTGTGTGTGTGTGTGTGTGTGTGTGTGTGTGTGGG